GTGCGATCAGTTTGAAAGTGATCCGAAGCTCGCCCAGACACGACTCAGTCCAGTTTCACTCACACTGTAGTTACAGGATGTCATGTTTGGGTAAGTTGAGCTCCTCCTCAGACACAGTCAGGTCCCCCATGTACCAGAATATCCAGAAGATCAGACTCAGGAAGATCAGCAAAGGTCCAGATATCACAAAAAAGTCCCAGAAGCTCAACGGAGCGAAGATCCCGATGAAGAAGAGGATCAGGCCGACGATGTCAAAAATCAAAGCCAGCGCCAGGAATGTGCTGCTGCACTTATTTGGCTCCATAGCCGGGACGGATGAGACGGGCAGATGGACGTCGTCTGAAGGCCTGATGAGACTGAAAAGTCTGTGCTTCCTGTCTTGGGGAACATTCTTTTTTTTATCCAGCACACCTCTACATTTCTTTCATAGCAGAGCTTTGTGGGAAAACTGGTCTAAAAACCAAAACAACAGGTTTTGCTCATTAACAGATCTTTAAAACCCCACAGCACGCCTTCATTCCTCTGAAGGGCTGACTTGTTTTGCACCTTCCACGTGTCATTACTGCGACACCTCAACCCATTGTCTCAAACCAGTGTGACAGATTTATGCACATATATTTCATAATCAGCTGCCACCGAGCTTGTGTTTACACGGTGATAAGCTTGCAGTAATTATTCAGGGACCCCGGATCTTTCTGTTCAGCTAATGAAACCAAAGCGATTCGAGGCGTCGCATCTTTTATCAGATCGCTCAGAGCCTCCTCGTCGCTTCAGTCTCACTGACTAGAGATTTATCCCTGGAGATATACTCTAGTTACCTTTTGTATTTGTCTTGGGAGCAGCTCTGCAGGGTGGATACACTGCATTAAAGCATTTCCAACTATTTGATATTTCACGGTTCGTGCAGCTCGACAATAGTGACACGTATTATAAAGTGCAGCCGCAAAGAGGAAATGCACGTAATGGAAACTTCTCTGAGTACCTTGTTTGACCAGTCATGCTGCCACTATTTGTCTTTTTGTCTCCGGCTTTGACTCGCTGTCCTCTCTACTGTTAGAGGAAGTGTGCACAGCGGAGACGGATTCAGCTTTATTTACTGTAACGCCGCGGCTCTGATTAAAGCGAGCTGAGCTGTCAGTCACACTGACTCTGTTTGTCAGAAGCCATTTCAGTGCTTGATCAACTGAACCCTGCAGAGGCCGCGTTTGCATAAGGTGTGCCGTCAGTGGAACTTGAACCTCCGGATCAAACAGAGGCTGCTGCTCCCAAACATATCTATAAATATAAACGTACAATCAGAAATGTACTCTCCCAAACAAATCCATATCATATCTGCGTATGGAAAATGCTATAAAGTAAAGTTACGCCTTGTCTAGCTTTGCTTTGCCATCACCGTTCTGCTGAGTCAAACCAGTCTGACCAGTGTTTGTTTTGAACTGACAGCAAAGCAAACAGCAAACATGACCTATCTTTACTATGTCTAGTTATCAGTGGAAAAGTGGAAAAAATGAAGTAATGTAGAGCTATCAATAATCAGTCCTTTCACCTTGTAATTGTAGCTGTGGCTCAGAGGTATATCTGTGCATTCTCTGCTTATCCAGCTTATATTAAATCTACAATCAGGTACAGAAAAAATACAAATAAAAAAAAGTCTGATTTTCTTAGACTCTAAATCTGTAACAATTGTTAAAATGAATGTTAATGTTCATTTTTTTATACAAGCAAAAATAAATAAATAAACATTGAGCATCCAGAATTGTATTTCTAGCTGCAAGGCTGTCCGTCTGCTCAGGGCCCCTGATGCCCTCACTGTTTCCCCCAATTCTTTCCTTTTTATTGCACAATTTTACATATTAAATTTGCAACACAAGCTGAAAATAAGCTCTAATAGATAAAAGCCTCAACAAAATGGGAGAGAGTGGGTCACAATAGGTGATTCATAAAAAGAGTTACTGCAAACTATTAGTTGGAAGACTCTAAAGAGTCCGTGGCCAGTGAGGTTCTGGGGCCTGAAGCAGCTACAGCACAACAGGTCGTGTTTTATCTTATATAGATCCACCGTTCCTAATCATTCCTTTTAAAAGTTTTCTGGAAAGAACAAAGAAAGTTCTGCTTTAACACATTTTCAAGTTAAAGTGCCCCGCTGTGCTGCGACTGAAAAGGACTCACGATTCATTTTGAATTGATTCGCTGAGAATGCCTCGAGTGAACTCTCTTTCTTATTTCCCTGCAAATGGTGGCGAATTCTTTCCAGGAAATGTACAAAGTCATTAATATGAAATTGCAGACCAGAAAAGCAAAGTATAAGCTCAGTGAGAAAGAACAGAGTATAAAGGGCCTTGTGCCTCAGTATTTCTAACATTGTGATTTACAGCCTATTTAAACATGTTTGACAGAACAGGTCCAGACATAATGCCCATCTAGGCTTGACTGAGAAGCCTGGAAAATATAACTTGCAGTAGTATCATCCCTCTTTCTCTGCATACTGTACAGAAGGCTCCAGAAAGAGGCACAATAAAGCGGCCAGATGCGCATTTTAACATGGAGGTACTCATCATGACATCAGGTCGTGTCATTTTTGCCCATTTTGCTCTCCACGTCAGGGATGTCCGATGAGGTATCGTAGCCTTCGTTGGAGTAGGCGGTGGATCTGCCCCACGTCACCCTGCTGGCTTTGTGTGGAGAGGATCCCCCATGGCTGCTCTCCTCATCCTCCACACACTTCATGCTTTCCTCCCCTCCCTTCAGCTTCATGGTTAACCTCTCGGATAGTTTCCTGGCCAGCTGCACGATGCTGTTCCTCTTCTTACAGCCGTCATCCACCGACACCTGGACGTTGCCCACGTACCACATGAGCCAGCAGGCCAGGCTGATGAAAATGATCAGGGAGCCGGTGTAGATCAAGAAGTCGCCATAAAAGAGTCCGTTGATGCGCAAGTTGGCGAAGATCCCGATTAAAAGCAGGATCACGCCGAGCACGTCAAACACGACGGCGATGAGAAACATAAGAAAGCAGTTTCCGATGCACTTGATCGCATCCATCCTAGACAGATCACAGCCGCTTCAAGCTTGTATAACGGCAAGCTGCTTCATCCTTTATACCTGAGCCGAGGCTGCGCACCTGTGGAGAGAGACGCCCCGCCTTAAAGTAGAAATAAACAATGTGTTCACGCAGGTGCATTCAGTGTACACACAAAACAAACACACACGTATGCACACTTCCTTTTTGCTCGTTTTTCACACTGAAAAGTCAAACATCCTGAATTCTCCAGTTCACAACAACAACAGTCATTTCAGGGAACTTTTCACTGTAGGCGCGCTGTGAAATATTAGAAAGACCCCTTATGAGGAAGCGCTCAGCCAGGTGGAGCAGACATCTGCCACGTGGTGAGGGGACAGAGGAAGCAGATACAGCAGGCAGGTTTCGTTTTTGATATTTATTGATATTTAATAAAGGATTCAAAATTGTAGTTAGAGTCCAGGATCTCGCAGGCTGGTCTGGGCAATGCAAATAATGCAGGACTCACAAGACTCCTTAGCATAATATTTGGCTGTCAAATTATACAGATGTACCCATCGTGTATGTTGTGAATATCAGGAAGAAGCAGGTGTATTTATTTGTTGTGCTGATGTTGGATTAGAACTTCTTCGGGTGTTTTTTCCATTCATGGTTGTTTTGCTAACTCCCCAAACATTTTTGTTTAATTTTCAGTTAGTTTGATTTTAGAGTGCAAAAAGTTTACCACGTCCTTCTTTAATTTCCAATTTTAAAGGGATTTCAAGTTGACTTTTATTTTCCCCTCACATTGCGATAAGTGTATGTGCACATACATGTTTGATTGAATCATTTTTACTAACACTTCTAAACCTCCAAACAGGGAAAGTTAAAGTTAACTTTGAGTAATCAGAACTTGAGTAGTAGAACTTGTTGCGCCCCGCATGAACACTGACAGACGTGGTTGTAACTGAGTAACGACAGCTAAATAAATAAAAACCTGAAACCGCTTCTTCACAAAAATCAAAATGTAAACGCATCATAACTGAAATAATGATTAAAACACTGTCACCTTTGATTTTCAGCTGAACTATTACATTTGATTTGAGTCTTTGCACTTAACTTGCAGGAGTCTTCTGCATTATATTTAAATAAATAAATAAAGGATGAACAACTCCTCAACACAAAGGTCAAAAGCATTAATAATAAAATATAATCAAAAAATTTAACAAGCTTCAAAGACTAAAGTTCAAGTTATAACGGCACTAATTGAAAACACTTTGCATGTACAGTGCTTCTGACATTATGAATGCATCCTACTGGCCTGTGAATAATGATTATTTTCAGCATGAATTAATCCGTTTGTTTCTATAAAAGGGTGAAATATTCAAAAAGCAATTTTGTTGTCTAAAACCAAAAGGTTTGTATTGTTATATCCAAGGCAAATGTGAAGACCATGAACTTTGGATTAAAAAAAATTATTTTAATAATCTGTTTATTGCAAATAAAACTCTGATTACATCAGAGGATCATTTGTAAATGTCTATAAGGTTTATATGTCTATATCTCAATATAAACCTGTAGCAACACACCAATAACAACTTCACTGTTATTTTGTACATTTAGACTTGATTTATGTTGATGACTGGAGGTGCAGTAATCACTACTGCAGTAACTTCAACTTGTGTAAATCAGTATTTTAGTATTTTTTTTAGTTCAACATTTATTTTTAGATGTTATATGTTGTATATGTTCCTGGTCTTGTGTGTTACCTGGTAACCTGTATGACAAAATGTATAAATAATTGCTCAAAGATTAATTCACAAGCAGACTGACACATGAAAACACTGGCTCAATAATTACAGATATTGCATTGTTTCAGATTCAACACATAGAGTACAAGTATCGGTATTGAAATAGAAATAATCCTGATTAAATAAAGCAAAGATTGCAAACTTAAATGTCTCTGCTAATTAAATATTCAGAGTTTCTCTAACATTTTCATCTTCTGATTATTTGACATCTGCTGTGGTCGTTATATTAAATAAAAATATTTAAGCTGAGCAGGCATTCGAATTTAATGTAATGATACATATAAATTAAATACTTTAATTCTGAACAAATTTGAGTGAGTTACCAGATATTTGCACACGTGTCTCTATCTAATATTTCCTCTTCCATTACCTCTGGCTTTGCTCTCGTTAGAAACCTGCCTCATGGCTGCAAAACACTTTATTGTGTTCGCTCAGCTTGTGTCTGACTCTCTGTGGTGAACAATGCTGCGCTGGAAGGGTTCACACAGGTCTTTGGAGCTTTTTCCTCTGAAGCTGCCTGCCGTCATCACAAATGAGAGCTCAGTCAGTGAACCAACACAGTAAACCAAACAAAGGAGTTAAAGAGGCTAAAATGCTTCTGGGAGCCGAGGGGAACCGTGGAGTTTGGTGATAATCGTTGTTCATTCATTACAAAGAGTGATTCCTTTCTGTAGCAGTCATACGATTCTTTGCAAATATACAAATATTGATTATCGTTACTTTAAATATGATCTGCACTGCTAGCCCAAAGAGTGCATTTTCAGTGGATAGAAGGAATTAATATTTAATGCACATTACAGTGGAATCTGGCTGTGAAGGGGTTACTTTAAATTGGCTGCTACCTAATATTGAAATCTTATGTAAATGTGCTTTCAGGTCACACCAGTCAAATCGTCACTCTTTACATAATTCAAGGATGAATACATTTAGATTCAAAGCATCCTTCCTTGTAGTTCTTTCAACAAACACTCACAGCCACACACAGCTGGACACAGTAAAACACAAAGTGACAATAAGAAGATGTCGTGACTTCGACTGACACGGTCAGTCTTTGCATAATTTTTATTTTATTCTTTGCAAATATTCATAAGGACACTTTACTGCCTTGTATCTTCTTGCTAAATTGTTTGTGCAGGTGTAAATAATTGCATTTTCTGCAGCGCATTCCTGTCCATGCGCTCTCATCCTATTTTCAACAGCCGCTGTTATTAATGAAATTACATCATGCACACTAGAAACTTCGATAGTGTCGTCAATCCAGAGAGATAAACATAATTGTTGTCAAACAGTCTTCTATTAATCATTTTCCACAGAGCTGAAAATATTAGCCTCAGTTCAGAGTGCTCTCCACGTTTCTCCTGAAATTACATCCAAACATAGTTGTGCTGAAAAACATCACAGCCCTCACAGGTTAAACACCGGAGGCCTGTAATAACTCAGGGGCTTCTTCATTTTCGACCGCTTCCTGTTCTCTTTGGTAATAGGAATCAGGACCACGCCCACCACAAAAACCATCAATCCAATGGACAGCAGGGCTGGTCCCAGGATGTTGGTGACTTTCCGGCAGTGGCCAGCGAAGTAAAGGCCGCTGATGATGATGCCACATGCCAGGAAGCTGCCCCCGGTAGACATGAGGTGGATGGGGAACCAAAAGACTTCAGACTTCTTGGGGGAATTCTCCGTAGTCCAAACTGACTCGGTGCGGGACAGGCTGAACACGGTGCTCTCCGTGCGGCTCGGGGGTGTGAGCTGGTCCCTGGACTGGGACAGCGTGCACTCCCCCAGGGGGATGTTCTCTGGGCTCCCTGGCATGACTTCCTGGCTGACTGTATGGAAGCAATGTGGAATAAAAATCAATCTGGAAGGGAGGATGTGTCTTTTTCCTATACACGAACGTTACTAAGGATATTGTAGAACATTTACTGCAATAAGCAAAACACTCTGTGTGTCACAACAAATCCAGAAAAGTACAATGAGGAAGTTTATGCTGCAATCAGAAATTCTAAAGAAAATACAAACAGCTTCTTTGCCCACTGGAAACGAGTCCACACCCAGGAAAGGAGCAAACAAGTCAACAAACACCTACCTTCGAATTCTGGATCAAGTCTCTTAGTCTGTATTTTTGAAGAACTGACAATAAGTTACAGTGAAAAATCACAAATCCTGAAGGAGAAGCCGACAAAATCTCTGCCCACCGTCTGACCAGAGAACCCAGTAAAATACAGCCATACAGATTTAGCAAACATCTACCCACCCTCCTACATTATCTCCACCTACTCAAGAGAACCCTGTGACCACCATCCCCTTACCATCTTCTACCATCGCAGGCGGTCTGTCCTGATATTACATGCAGGGCGAGGTGCTTGGCTTTCTTTCCCCAGAGGATATCCATAGACTCCCCCCAAACCACTCAGACTCACGGCTCCATTGGGCTCTAAAACGATTTCACAAAAACTTCAATAAACAGCTCCAGTACAGCCTTTTTTTTTTTGTTTTTTCAGAAAAAAAAGCCTCAAATTTTCCAGGACAGGACAATGAGAGGAAAATATCTGCCTTACTAGCCTGAACTCTTTCCATACAAAGAAGAGTAGGGGCAGGAAATGGCTCTCTGTTATAGGCAGATTGATGCAGCAAGCTTTCCAATACTGACGGTTATGTTGGTACAGTATTGATCTCTAAGTACCCTGGAGCAATTATCTGCAAGTTGTTCACTGGTCATGAGATCTGTGTAGTAAAATTAACCCTGTGAAAGTAAAGGAAATCGTTTAGAAATTTGGTCAAATTTGGGATTTTCCTTTGTCGTCTTCTTATTGAGCTTCTGAGATTTCGCACCTCGGGTGTGTAGGGGACCACAGCGTCAGAGGGGTGTCGCTGCAATCTGATGCTGCTGCTTCCATTAAACTGGCCTGATATTACATTTGTGTCTGCTTCGCTTCGTGCGCTCTTTTGGAAAGACAAGTGCCACTATGTGGCCATTGATCTGAACACGAGCTCACACATTAACACAATTACGCTCGATGGAGAGCTCCTCAGCTACGAAGACGGCTCTTCGGGGCTGTTTCTACTTAGCAAAGGCTGCACCTACTCCCTGGTTTCATTAGATTACTGCTGTCCTCTCTTTAAAATGCACCATCATGTGGCGCTGATACATGAAGCTTGTCTATACTTGCAATGAGCAGCATGATCCAGCAGAGGGCAGCGCTGCCATGTGGCTTAGAATTGGACTTCGGGCTTGCTGTGTCATTAACTTTTAGTGAAATTTTAAACAGTACGAGCTGTTAATTGATCAGCTAATTCAATGTTTTACTAATGAACTTAGTTTGTTCTTTTACTTTGCACTGACATATGAGGAATTAATTGCCCGTTCCATGTAGTGCTTGTGATCATGACGTGCCTAATTCTCTTAAACGGCCTATTTAGATGGGCTTTATCTCAGTCATCTGAGGGCATATTCCACCAGCAGGCCTGCAGACTAGATGTGATGTGAGATTGAGTTAATATATCATTTTAGACAAAAGTTAAAGAACCGTGTCTCATTTGAACGTGTTTTTGAACATAAAGTTTTGTGCACGAGCCAAAAGGTTGGAGGATGTAAAAGGGTCAAAAGATTACCTAATAAAGCTACAAGGATGTGCAGCCCTGATGTGTTTGGATGACTGCACTAATATGCTACAGTATAATATTGTTGTCTGTTTCACAGTTCCTAACTTAGTGGTCTGCCACCCTGAGAATTCAACATGCTGACATTAATTAACCTGTAAACTGATCATAACCACAACGTGGTGGCTCTTTTGCTTTTGCTTCTTGCTGTAATGAGCTAGCATTGGGAGATGAACACAGAAACATGCAAAGGATTTAGAGCTGGTCTTGTAATGCGTTTGATACTAAGCACTGCAGAATAAAGTGTTAGTGTGGACGTCTGATCCCTACGTTTGAGAAATGTCCGAGCTAAATAGCTGTCCTGGACACCAATCGTTTTGCTTGCTTTTCTAGCATCGTGTTGCTACAGGCTAACTGTAACGATCCAGAGTAGCGTTCCTGGGACCTTCAGTTTATAGATAAATAAATCTGATGGGTAGTTTGATACATAATAATGTTAATCAAGTTAATTGTTCTTGATCATTGGTTGTTTTCTGTGATTTCATGTGCTTGAGTTGCCGGCGGCATGAGGAAGCCTGTCTCACCTCTGTGTGACACTCAGGTTAATGTTGGCTATTCCTGGGTGGAACAAACATTAAGAGGAGCTGAGGTTCTGTTCCCTTCAGCTTCATAGGATACACATGCTCGTGCCCAAAGGAAGAAGGTGGCACACAGTTACACACAGCAACTGTATCCTCATTACTCATTCGGAGCTGTGAGTTTTTGCTGACAGAAAGAGAGGAATAAGAAGCTGATAATACAATCTGCTTTGTGCAACTGAGTCATCTCAACTGAGTCAGTGTTTTAGGGTTAATCATTTGTTAGACAGCAGCAGGAGCAGAGGTCCTAAATTTTAATCAAGCTTTAATATTTATGAATGTTTTTTTCTCCTTCTCCTTCAATCCAAAGCCAGGAATGGTATGTTGGCGTGCTGAGCCATGAACTTTAGAAGTGAAGCAGCGTGGGTCAGCTCATTGTACAAAGAAACGCCGGTGCTCACAATAAAAACTGAAATTCTTTCTCTACTGGGCCTCCACAGCAGATCCACCATGTTCCAGTAAGTGACATTACATTACTCCTGGTTTATGCTCTTTACATCTGCAGTTCCCTTTAAATTAAAGTAAAAAATAATAATAATAGATTAAATAATTAAATTACCTACAGAGCCCTTCACAGACAGATTATTTATCTCAACTGCTGTATAAACTCTCTGCTGCTTGCAGTCTTCATTCGCAGGTTTTAAATTTATTAGCTCTTCCTCGTACAAGATTAAAGACCAGGGCTGACAGAGCCTTTCAGTCTGCAGCACCAAAACTCTGGAACATACGCCACTTCATCTACGTTTAGCTGACTCTGTGGAGTCCTTCAAAAACTAGTTGAAAACTTTCCTGTTTAAGCAGGACTTCTGCGTAGATTATTATATATATTTATATCACTGTTTCTATTATGATTTTATTCTATTTTAACACGTTTTTGTTGCATTTTACTGCGAATTGATTTCATCCCTGTGAGAAACACTATAGAAATAAACTTTTTAAATCCTGGTTTTGTGCAAATACATCCGTTTTTCCCCCCATTGTTGATATTTCACGCTGAAATGATATTATGTGACAGAAAAGCAATGACTGTTGTATGATGGAGTGAAGGAATCGATTTAAATAAGAGTAGCTGTGCAAGATTGTGTAAGACAGGGTGACTCACCGCATTTATAGCATCTTTGAAATGATTTATTATGATTCATTAAGTGATCTGGACAAATTCCAATACACATCAGACCTTTAGGAATATACGATTGGCAGATACATTTAAAGAAATGCTTGGTTTGGGTCAGTTAAAGGAAGGGTAATTGGAAATCAGTACAAAGATGACCTTTATCTGTTGGTGAAATATTTCGGTCCTGATGGGAGTGGATTCTTTCGGGATATGGCCTTCATACTCAGACTGGACAAATACAGTAGGCGACACTCTCCACTGACTTCATCAAAACTCCAAATTAGGGAATATCCCAAAAGATACACCCATCTCATAAAGTTCCACAGAATCAAAAATCTTAAGGCACAATAAAGGTCTTCTTGTGGCCGCCAGAGATGGACAGTAACGCATTAAAACTAATGTGTTACTTGTTACTAGAAAAAAGTAACAATTACAGTAAGGGATTACTATTGCAAAAAAAGTAATTAGATTACTGTTACTTTCCTGTAAGCACGCTGCGTTACTGCGTTATTGGACCGTGATTTTGTTTGTGAGAGCGTCTCATGACGATGATGTACAAGCACGCGGCGTCCGTGGCAGCGACAGACGTGTGCAGATCAACAATGAATAATATGGAGTGATGGAGAGAGTACGACCATGTAGCGTTTAAAGCTCAGACATACTTAAATTACTTTAATGTTTTTGTCACTTTTTACAGAATCAAACTTAGTGTCAGCTGTTCACTCTGCGTTGGAAGAAACTTCTTTCTACAGCAAAAAAATTAAACTTCAAATCTGAGCACCGAGCGCGCTGCCACGGGAATGTGACATTCACAGGGAAACCCCCGGATCCTCCCACTGACACGACCGCTGTGGGCAAACCTCCACCCACCCCACTCCTGCCAAACAGGTGACAACAGATTTAAGCGCAACAGGTCTCAGAGCTGCTGAATCTTTGATTTTATTTATTTTCTGATGCGTTTTACTTGCATCTATTTGAAAGAGTGTAAACACAAAACATTATTTTATTTTATATGCTGGAATATGTAGGAAATAGGTTTAAATGTTAAACACATTTATTCCGGTTACAGACTGTTGCATTTAATTTAATTTTTGCTGATGCAATGCGCATAAAGTTAAAAGATTAAAACCAATAAAACAAGTTTTAAAAAAGAGACTTTTGCATTTGATTACATTTTATAGGATGGATTATGCAGAAAAACTAGAATTGAGCTGAAAAGTCTATTGTTTTGTTACGTATTCAGATTGTGTATCATGTTTTTGAAAAGCAACTAAATAATGAAGTAATTAATACTTTTGAAAATAAGTAATCAGTAAAGTAACAGGATTGCTTTCTTGGAGAAGTAATCAGTAATTAGTAACTAACTACTTTTTTCAAGTAACTTGACCAACACTGGTGGCCTGCAAGGCAACCAAACCTCAAGTCCTGTAAGAAGCCCAACAACAATGCACATGAGTGATTTTAAGGCTACGTCCACACGTACACGGGTATTTTTGAAAACTGAGATTTGCTAGGAACATGCCAAAGCAACAGGTGGCGATATATTCCTAACCGTGGAGAAATGTTAGCCAATCAGAAGTCTAGAAGCCTCGTGGGAAATAGTAAACAAGGATGGGGCATAGCCGAGTCGTATGTGTGGAGGGACAGTAACTGTGTGTGTATATGTAAGCATTTAAACACTGCAGAGAGTACAAGTAACAGTATTTTGTCATTTCACCGAAACAATAACGTGGCGCACAGTGTGACGTCAAAAAAGGCGCACATCTTTGACGCTGCGTTTTCTCCGTTTTCCTCGTCCACACGCAAAAACTGAGTTTTCGAAAATATCCACCCTGACAGGCGTTTTTAAAAATCTCCGTTTTCAGTGACCGACAACGCCGTTTACATGTAGAGGAAAGGTGCAAACGCACAGAAAAAATAAAAATTTTCAATAATACCCGGGTACGTGTGGACGTAGCCTAAATGTACTTTATGTCAAAACACTACAGCTGGATAGAGTAGACATGTTTCCTTTGAGACATCAGGATTCATCTCTAACAGTTGATTACTTGTTGGGCTTGAATTTCACTGTATCATTGCACATAATTTAACTGATTTTTGCAAATGTAGTACTCACAATAATACTACTACTAATGATATGGCAGTCCCACTGAAGTTGATGTTAAGACCACAAATCTTCATGATCCTCTCGATTGGTCTAACATTACTAAGGTTAACTGGCTCAGAATCTGTGACC